TATGTTGTTAATAAACACTGTATCCCGTCCATGATAGAGCCCAGTGGATCTACAGGACCACTTTCTATCGTAACGAAGCTCTACGCGAAAATTGATGATATCAAAATACCGGCTGCTAATCAGATCGTGAATGTGTGCGCTGTAGTGACTCGCCCAAAGCGACATCCGAAATCTGACCAGAAGAAGCGATGGGAAAGCCCTGACCAAAAAAGATATTTTCCTCATGGATGAAGGAGAGAAGCCGCTTGAATCGACGATTTGGGAAGAAAGGTTCAATATGTTTCCTGGCACCGAAAGCACCGTCGTATCGTTCACGCGAGTTCCAAGGAGCGATTAGCGTCGCTCTCACAACAGGAGGTATCCTCGTCGCAAATCCCGTGGATGATCGGTCGTTGTCGTTGATACTGCGCGATTGGTGGAACCGCCGAGGAGTCAAAGACATTCCGGAAGTAAACAGCGCCAGATGACACCTGGCAGAATCCATGATGAGGAGCGAATTCTCTTCATCATCATGGTTGGCCAACCGATGCTCCAGATTTCCTTCAACCACCCAATCATGATTAGAGTTCCTCTTCGGACATTTTCAGATTCCGACTCTCGATAGAGGATAGATCCGATTGCGGCATTTTCATTCTAGCGTTTCCCACATCGTCCGGCGACAGGGATAACTCATCAGAGACGATTCCCTCGTCGATGTGGTCGTCGGTCCCCGCTCTTGCGGAAATGTCCGAAGTTTAGGAACTCTTATCATGATCGTTTCATTCATCCAACCTTTCTGGTTGACCTTCACGTCAATTCCTCCCGGGACACTACTCTTGGCATGAAATCCTTTTTAAAAATTATCCCTGGTTGCGATTTCTCGCCGGACGCTAGCACCCCGAGAACCACAGTGAACTTGGTCTTCTTATGACTAGTGGTGTCGATCCGTACGTGGTCGCAAACCCTCGGAGCAACAGACCGATGGAGGATGACGTCGAAGAGGACTGGCATTTCGACAACGTTCCCGATGAAGCCCGGGCATAAGCCGGTGGGGGACTCCTTCACAAAAAGTCTGAAGTTTTTGATCTTTGCATCGAAATCTGAGGGCAAGGGTCGACTGGTGCTGCTCGTCCTGCGCAGACTGAGCCCATTTCTGCTCATGAACTTGTGTACCTATCTACAAGAAGCTCTGAAATTCGAAATAGTCGCCTCACCACGACTGCCGGTGATCTCCGATGCTTTGCTCTGTAAGTCTACGACTCGCACAGCTCTGATACGACTTCTCCTTTCGAGAACCCATCCCTTCAGCTCTCACTCGATGCCCTTGAGCAACACTGCTCCTCTCCGAAATGCTCGTCGAGACTTCCGGGACTGCTCGAGCTCTTTCTCCTTCTCCTTCTGTCGTGAGGCATGCTCTTCGAGATTCCGAATTCTATCGTAGTCGCCGTCAGACCCTGCGACCGATCGTAGGCGATGGCTTCTAGTTTCTTGTGTGCTGTGTGGGAGATCCTCTTCTTTCTGAAATGAGGCTTTCGGGTCATTTCGATATTCTTGGCTCGGAAGCTTCTGATCGGACTAAGTACACGTACTCTCATGAAATGGAACGAGGTAACCTGGAAACCGAATGGAAGCTGGAAAACAAGCCCTGGATTGGAGCCAATGCGAGTTGTGGATATCGAAGCTGAACTGGACCCCCCCCCCCCGCCGATGAAGAAACCTGATCCTACGGAGTTTCCGAGCTCCGTATGTAGAATCGGATGAATACCGCTTAGAAGCGTGACTGCTCTCTCCGTTCGAGCACCACGTTCTCGTTCCCAGTCATCCTATCGAATCAGACGATGACTACGCTACAGATCCGGAATTCGACTCGAACGCAGGAATTGACATCATGCTCTGGAATGGTCCTAAACCATGTGAGAAACATCATCACCCGGGGATACACCTGACCACTGAGCACGAATAGAATTGGATTCCAGAGCTGTCACTAGGAATACTCACATCAGAATTAATGTATTCATCCTCAGTCACATTACTCGGGAACGCCACAGAATCAAGAAATAATTAGCGAGATATGGAATCGGAGAATGAATTCGAATGGATATCTCCTGTTAGTGAATACACCCTCCCCAGACGTCGATCTCACGATCCTCTCCGCATTTACAATGTGGAATGCTTGAATCTTCGCGATCACCATCCTCGCTTTCTCGCGAACCGTTCATTATACGCGGGGTTCGGGATCCGCTGGGCTATTTGTTCGAGAAGTTCGTTATTCGCGGAGCTTCGTCCACGGAAAGTCCGTTATCCTGAAAGTTCGCTGTCCGGGAAGTTGGCTAGGCGCGAGCTCCGTTATGCGAGAAGTTCGCTATACGCGAGGTCCGTTATGCGAGAAGTTCGCTATACGCGAGGTCCGTCATGCGGGAGGTTCGCTATACGCGAGATTCCTCATCCGCAAAGTTCGTTATACAAGAGGTTCCTTATCCGCAAAGTTCGTTATACGAGAGGTTCGGTATACGGAACGTTCGTTATACGAGAGGTTCGCTATCGGGAAATTTTTTTATGGAGAAAAGTCGCTATGTGAGAAGTTCGCTATACGGAAGGTTCGTTTTTCGTAAAGTTCGCTATACAGGAAGTTATTCATACGTCAAGTTCGCTGTACGAGAAGTTCGCTATACCGGAAGTTATTCATACGTCGAGTTCCTTACACGAAGCGTTCCTTATGAGTGGGATTTTAATTTTTTTTTATTTTTAACTCAATTTCGGTAATTCGGTCCGGGAAGCAGAAAGAAGAATCAGTTCATGTTCCAGTCGGACGAGGATCATGTCACATGACGATATGAATCCTTTCAGACGAGATTGCGTCGCCTGTGCCAAAAACATTATTCCTTTCATGGCTAGGTCCATACTCATCAAAATCAGGGCCTACCTAGGGGCGGGTATCAATTGTCCGTCCGGCGAGACCGATCGGTGCTTCATTGTCAGCCTTTGCTTGACACTCAGGAATCCCCATGCGCAACGACTGCCGTGTCTCAGCATTCCTGCGAGGCATTGCATGGAAACATGGCCGAGAAAACAAGGCCGGACCCTTGTCTCCGTCTCGATTCCAACGGGACTTTACTCCGGAGAATTTTCGGCGCATAGGGAAGTGTGGCCCTGGGAGGGAGAAGAATTGAAGCTTGACAGAACGCTCCGCTAGATTCTGGGTCCACCTGGGTCGGTCTCGATCATTCCTTTCGAGGAACGCTCCCATGCTGAGGCGCCTAGGCCTAGAACCTAGAGCCTAGAGACTGGAATGGCTTGCTCGCTTCATCACGCTACAAGGGTATGATCGTCGAAGGTTTTTAGCCGCTCAACAAGAGGCACACAGAATATAGTCGCGATCCTTCACGAGGAAACTAGACCGCATGATTCGCGTGCTTTCGAGAAGCAGTAGCTCAGCTCGATTTTGTTGCGATACCATTTAGTACGCAGGGCTTCGAATGCGGTATGACTGTGCGCAATTGATGCATGTGAGCGACTGCGTTTCGGTTCCGTCGAAGCCGCGCGGGAAGCAAGGACATACAGGGCCGACTTCTGGAATAGGGAGATTCTCATATAGCGAACATGTGCTAAAGGGGGAGCTTAGTGAAGGGTGAATTGCGCTTCTCATGATGTCCTTCGGATTCAGACACTTAACCCTCCCGCCTCCCCTGGTCTTCGACGATTGGACCTATTCGACTACGTTCACCGTACAAACGCAAATGGCCGCTGCGGATCTGAGATATCCCCCGAGAACTTCGAGGCACCAGTAGTGCCACACCACGCGGCCATCGATCAAGCTCGCCGAACCGAGAGTGAGAGGAGAACATGAGTGGATCTGAAGCCGCATTCATGGCTACCTGAAATCTCTAGAAGAATCTCCCTGGGCTCAAGTCTCTGAGGAAGACCTAAAATTCCAACATCGCCGAACTTCGAAAGAATTCCGTTCAACGGTCACTATCGCTCTAAATTGTAAGGAGCTCGCCTCCGATGCGAGAGCTTCGACAGCAATCGATGTGCGGCCGTCACGCAGCAGCGAGATCAGTGCGCTGGAATGTATCGCTATCACACGTGCCTTTTCGAAGTGCCAGACGGACCGCGCTAGAATTCACATGTGATAAAATCACGGCGCGGAAAGCATTGTCATATTTTTAGCGAGACAATCGAACGTTTTTTTCTTCCGGTACACAGTCAGAGACCGGTGTTCTCTCCCTTCATTTAGCCGTGAGGACTGCAATAGCCGTCGAGATCCTACGGGACCGCGCGCCTGAATCGCAGGGAAACAACCCTCATCTCCGCAAGAGTGCCTCACGGACGTCGGAACTTAGCCTGTCTTCGAGAAGCTCGAGCTGTTACTACGTCTCGCAGAATATTAAGCCCGTTATGAATAGATGAACAAGATCATAAAAACAGCCATTGCGCTTCTCGGCTCATGGAGATCTCTGTATCGCCCTCGCTCCTCTAGCTGTTCCGTCGTCCCTTTATGTCCTCCCGCTCTCCCTATTCCTCAGGCGGACCTAAGCTCGGGCGGGAAACTGTCACCTCTGAGGCCTCCTGCTCAGCCAGCATTATTTACACCAGAGGTCTCGAAGCCCACAACCAGTCGGGTCGATTTGTCGTATCTTCTGGACTCTTTTAAAGAGAGGGCAGATCGTGGAATAGGATATTTCCCCGACTCTTCCCGAGAAGGAACTTACTAGCTGTGGTATCTTGACGCTGCAGTTCAGAAGTTTTTCTTTCAAGTTGCTGCGTACATTGCCTGTGTTGCGCGGGAGCTTCGATTCCGAGAGTGGTGTCGAGCGCGATTGCCCCGATCAGACTTAAGGCTTAACGCGAAAACTTTGCTTTGATGGATATCTCCCAAAACTCACTTTGTTGGAGTTTGTCTCTCTGGAATCGACAGGCTTAACCGGACGTGTCGTCGTGACGCGGCTTTGTGAGAGATTTGTGCCTGACGCCCTCCGCCTGGTTTTTGGGCAAGTGAATTCAATGGAAATCCAACATCAAACAGGCTGCCTCGCGGACTCAATTGCTCGCTGACAAGAACATCAACCGAGATTTAGGCTGTGGGAAAGTTGACCTCGATCTCGACCCACTTGTGGAATCAGCTCACTCGTGGGAGAGCTGTCCGGAAGTGTCCCACCATGGTACTTCAGCGCCGCAGGTAGCGCATCGGAAATTTCGGCATCCTCACGAGGTTAGCTCCAAATTTGCGTTCTCCGAACCGACGCGTCAACGAGGAGCGTCGGAGAGATGGCGCAGCCGACCCTTCCGGAGTATCAATCATCAGAGCTCCATCACGCGGCAGGTGAGGTCGAGGAGTTGCATAAGAGTTTGTGCGGTCTTTCGGAGCTCGATTCCACCAAAGGTGCTTTCTTCGTTTCTTCCGTCAGCTGGTAATTCATTCAAAGGAATTCAGTAGTGAATGGAGGTCGTAGAGCACCAGAGCATTCGAGAATCCGCAAGCAAGAAGTGATTCCTCAGTACCGCTACCCTATGACGATTTCGCATAGATTCGGGCCAGAATGTGGTTGGAAGAATGCTCTGAGCTTGAAGGAATCTATCCGGCAACGCGTTCTCGAAGCCCCCCCCCTGTCCTCCTCAGCACACTGAGAAGTCTCATTTCTCCATTGCTGCTAAGACTGCCTAGCATTGATAGAAATAGCAATCGGGTACCCCTGTAGGATTCCGTTTCATTATAGACATTTCTCTCACGAATTAGCGATCATATTGAAGGCGTCGACTACTACGGGCGTTATCTCATCGCATTGATTGATCTCGATGAAGTACACATTCACGAAAGTCCCCGGCGTCCGGACGGTGAGTCGGATCTATTCTCCCCGCATTCGTATTTCTTTCTTTCGATAGTGCCTTGATGATTGATTCCCAAAATAATTCCGGAATCGTTCTACCGAATAATCCCTCGGCGACAACAAATCAGGACGAATTTCTTCCATAGCGGAGACGACCTTCGAAGTATACAAACATGATAGACGGCCGATTCTCACCGGTATCGAGGAAAACCATATCATGTCTAGTTTCTGCTTTTTCGTCAAAGGTTTCAACATCTCCTTCAAAAACCGGAGCGGTAATATCCTCCCCCTATCTGCGAGGGGCTCATACATATTCTACCTTGAACTGATCCTTCCGAATATGCGGGAACCCACGCGGTAGGAGGGGATAAGGAGCTCTGGTCAGAGGGATTTAGGGAAAAATCAGTCTGCTCCTCCTGATCTTTTTCTTTGAACTCAAGACCAGGCCGTGCTCACGATGAAGCGACCAGCATGTCGTTGCTGCGGAATCTTCCTTCCCTGCTGCTGCTCGGATGAATTGATCGTCGAGAGTCCGCCAGGTAACCACGTGGGGACGGTTAGAGAGAATTGGTCTCTCGGCGGCGTATCGTTCGATATCCTGGAACCCAGAGGAGAACCGATCATGAAGCTCACGAGCGATTGTTGTGCAATTTCCGCCAGCAAGAACTTGGAGAACGACGTTAAATTCAAGGTATTCGACTCCGGTCCGCTTTTCCCGCTGAAGAATCGCGGAGGATCTCCAGCCCCGATCATCGGTACACTCCGCTTGGCTCAGGACTGATATGTTGAGATGATTTTTATTCATTCTCCAGATTCATGACCTCAGAACCACATCGGAAATCGGTGAAGTGGTCCACAATCTCGATTCCCATTCTCATGAAAGACGCATCGTGAATAACTATTGCGTGAGCTTCAGCCGTGCGCTGCCCGTTCACTGGAAAGCTCTGATGATCGGGTCGGCGATCCTGCTCGTGAGTATATGAAGATGTGGTGTCCATCTCCCGGACCCTAGCACCCGAGTATCCCTTCTCATCTTCCCTACTCCGATTGCAAACTTCGACGGCTGAATTCCTTCCAGAATTTTCGATATTTCAAGAATCCCCGACAGCCTCGTCAAGTGGCCGGAGAGCAGCAAGGTTGATGAGACGCCACAGATACTCCATGCCCCGACGCGAAATAAAAGAAAAACACCCGAAGAGAAGTGGATTGAGTCTCCTCACTATCGAGGCCGTCTCGGGAAATTTTCCGAAATAGGCAACTGATCGTCAGTCTCATTAGGAGCGAAGCTTCATGACCGAGAAACAGAGGAGTCGGCTGTCCTTCATTCAAAAATGCTTGATCTGAGACGGGAAAACCCGGGAACACCTGCGAGGGTCGGCTGCGTTCACGAAGGCTCCGCATGAACGTGTAGCTTGTGGAAACGAGAAGGGGTTGGCTATTTTTCCCAACTGTCTTGGAGTTTCACCCGCGGTGGTGGCAAGCAAGCAAGCGGGCGGTCGTCCGCCGATCGCTCGGCAGCTTCAGACGGGAGCAAGGAGCAACTACGGTTTTTCGAGGGAATGCCTTCGACCCCTTGCTCCGTGTGTATTGGCCTGTGCCACGCGAAATTCTCCTCGTCCCGAAGAGGAAGCCCTTCTGCCGCAGCCAGCGATTTCTTGCAGGAGTTTGGATCCTCGAACTCCATGTCCCGTTCACTACTCACTTACCTCGGAGGTAAGCGACGCTCGCCGCAGCTGTCCCGGATTGGCTCCGTTCCATCGTTCGCTCCGTTGGCTGGTAGGTCGGTCGTTGAGTTGAACGAGACGACTCTCAGTTGACGTTTTTCGTGCTCTCTCCAGCAATCGCCAAGTTTCTCCCCGAGAGTTTCTTCCTCGGACGCTCACTGCATACGCTCGGGAGCGCCCCGCGCCTGCTTTCCTGGAGTCGTTGAATGCACAAGCCATTTAATGAGGCCGAGAGAGAGCTCACTGCCGCCATCAGAAGCATCGGTAGCACTAGGCCAGACGTAATAGCTGCGTGATAGCTGCAGCAAGCTGAATTTGACACTCCATGATAAGCCACCGTCTCAACCAGTGTTTGGTTAGGGACGGAACGGAATTTTCCGCTTTACGGCGAGAGACAGAGAGTCTCGCGACTGCCACGAACGATCAATAAGCCCATTGAAATAACTAGGTAGAGAAATCTTTTCCCGAAAAGCAGACGATATCAGAGCGGCGTTGTGCCCATCCCGAAATCGAATTCTTCTCGCCTCTATATAGGGTAATTCGTGAGCTTCGGGGGTTGCCTCGACCTGGGGATTCCGACGCGGAACCAGAGTGCCGCATTCTAGGAATTCCTCGTCGAAGATCCGGAAGACATCTCTTCCATCTCCAGGGGCAGGGCGGGAGCCGGTTCCGATTAAGGGCGCCATTTCACGTCTGCTCCTCGAGTCTAGGATGTTTCATGGAGAAGATAGGGGGGATAGAAAAAAAAAACAGATCATAGTACGCACTATCTGTGACATTTCCAAACATTATACGAAGAACGCGACGTCGATGCGAAATCGGGGTACTCGTTCCACCGGGAGCATTAGGAATTTCGGCTACAGTCTCCTTTATCTCGCGGCTCTGTTGACTCTCCCCATGGCAATCGGTACGCTGAGGGACTTCTTGCTGAGGCACGCGACATTCTATTCCCCTATTGCTCGCTGCCCCCGCAGCTCGTCCGTTGGCCGTCGCGTCGGTGGTCCAAAATCAGTGAGCCGTGCAGTGTCGTGCGCGCAGGGAAATGTCTCTGAAAGTTGTCAATTTTGAGTCGGGCAAGCATCACGTTATATCAACCTCTGTTGGGAAGAGCTTCCTCCTGAGTCTCCGGTGTTGTTCACTGGTCCGCACATCACGGAGCGGGGGAAGGGCGGCACGCTCCGACCTTGGACCCTTACCCTGGGCTCGCCCGTTTTCTTGCCAGCTTTGTCTGCTTTCTTGTGTTCACGATGCGGAAAATGGTAGAAGAGCTCGCTTGCCATGTATGAACATATACACGTGTGAAGGCGGACACGCAGAGACGGTCACTTCAGGGCATAAGTGTGGCGCAGATTCGGCTAACCGAGGTCTAGAAGAGTGAAGCAGAGCCTCAACGTGCTCCTCCATGTCCTCTGAATGTATGGCAAACTTTCGGATGATACATTCAGGATTTCAAGCGTTGTGGGGGGGGGGGTGGGGGCTGTATCACGCAGGACGAGGAACGCAACGTCCCTGCAGAAGCTCTTCCGGATAATTTGCCCTTCCCTACCGACGATTGCTTGAGATGGTGTCCCGATCGAACCTACAGGATAATCATCCCGACGGGTCATGCTCCCCATTTATGGAGTGGATGGGGAAATCACAAGCTCTTCCGGAGCGAGTGAGGGCAGCTAAAAATGGGAGATCGTGGAGTTCGAGGCGTCATAGTCAAAGCTCGGGGTTCCGCGCGGGGCTTGGAAATGCTCGAGCAGTTCGCTCACATACGACGAACGACAAAGGAACGAGCACCGGCGAGAGGGGCAATAGAGCAAACAATACGAGAAAAGAACAAGTACAGAGACTGCGGGCAGCGACGACGACGGGGAAACTGGAAAGCCGGGGGAACACGTTGCAATAAAGGTACAGCAGAGGAACTGGGAAATTGCCAAACACTGCAAACAGGAAGAGTCCGCGAGAGTTTTTTGGGGCCGCAGAGCGAGAGCAGACTCAAACAGATTAGGGCAACGCGAACTCTAGTCTGTGCTCGACTAACCGGGGGCGAATTGTCTTCCTCATTTCTTTTTCTCTCTCTCTCAATCTATCGTTCTTGTAAGTCTTTCCTTTTGTGGTGGCTGGGGGAAGCCGGAGCAAAAAGAGGGAAATCGGCGGGGGGAAGAGGGCAAGCGAACGGACCAGTGCGCAGAGGAAGTACGGAGACGCCGAGAGAGGAGAGGAGCGATTGAACCGCTAGCGAACCAGCTCAGCCGACAGCATCGGCAGGGTGAAGAACCCCGCAGGGAACGGATATGAGATGAACGATGAACAGGAGAATGAAGAAATTTCGATCTAATTGAATCTCAGTCTCCAAACGTTTACGATAAGATAAGCGTGCGTCGGTCAGGGAACGTACACCATTTTTTCCTTTCCACCGAATTTTCTGTTCGGCTGTTCCTCTCTACCACCGACTGATTTCGATTTAGACGAAGTTCGCCCCAATTGTTTTTGTTCGTTCATCCTCAGGCTTCAGTAGAGCCGAGAAGAGTCGAATTCTGATCGAAATTCGGGAATAACTTACAGAGGGTTTTCGTCCAGTCTGACCACGATCTCGCCTTGCGAACAAGGATGGGACCGGAGGAATCTACCGAACCAATCCCTAGCTTTCCGGGACTCCGTCGTCAATCCCCTTGAACGTTCATGTTTCTGACGATCGACCCAGCCCGAACGGTTTGGACCGTCAGTTCACTCATGGTGTTCTCTCCTATCTCTCGACTGGCTTGTCATCGACGGTCGCTGGCGCAATGACCTTCCGCAAATCTCTTCCCAGATTGATTGGTCCGAAGTAGTCCGAGCGCCAGAGGGCTTGCAGTGCGAGCCGGGAGTGTGTTTCCCGGACCTAGGGGGAGACAAGAAAATTCCATCGCTCCATTCGTCCCCCATTGACACAGATGGACTCGTCATGAGGAGTAAATATTCACTAATCACATTAGGGAGGCACCCGTAGCAGCCTTTTTTCTTAATCTAAATCCTGCCAGAACTATGATACTTTGCAGATCTCTGGTTGCGAATTCGACCCTCTCGGAGCTCGCCCCAGTGCCGCATGGTACCAATTCACGTTCATGAGGGTCATAGAGGCGATCCCCGAAGGGACGTGGCGGCAGACGCGTTTCACTCGGTTTCGAATTGGATTTCGATGTGTTGCGCGCTTAGGGAAATCGCGGTGTTTTTAGGCAGTGCGCGGGGAACGGGGTATCGGGGAGCCATGAGGAGAATCGGATACTCTGGGGAGTTCTGAGAGACTCGATGAGCAACCGAAGTCCGATAGAGGAACCCGATCGCACCATGTTATCACCAGAGGAGGGATTCGGAGGGAAGAGAAATCTGAATTAGGAAAATCCAGGGCGCTCTCGACGAGCGCGGACTCGAGGGGCTGCCGACACTCGGCCGGACGAGCCCCACTTTAGTCGCCCGTCCCTTAACTCTCACCGCCCATCCAATTAAAACGAAAAGAAAGATGGAACAAAGCATAGGGGTTGAGCAACGGCGCGGGGGGAGCGGAATGAGGAACGAATCAGCCCGAGGTTACGGCTGCATCAAGAGGGACTCGGTTCGAGCGAGTCGCGGCACTTTATCTGTCAAAATAGATTTGCTCACCGCCATATGTCATCCGAATGCGGCCACGACAGTGTTGAAAAGAGTCCAGTGCTCCTGATCTCATTTTTTCTCCGCAGTAGATGGGAGCGAATACAGTCCAGAGCTCGCCTGTATCCTGCGACCTTGATAAGTCAGCAGATAACATGGCTCCGCCTGCTCCCTGAATTCGATCTTCGGGGGAGATTCCACCTCCTCACGGCGCAAAAGCGAGAGGGGGATTTTCGGGAAATTTCCGGATGCCTCCATTCTTTTCGGCAGGGTAAGGAGCCCTCCCACCGCAGTCGCCTTGCTTGGTTCGGCCGAGGGAGAGCGAATTTCCTCGCGGCGGGGAGGCTGGAAAACCAGGGGGTTTGGTGGGCGAGGGCCATAGCTGAGTTAATACAAGCCTGAGCGAGAGAAAAGGAAGAGTGAACATGAGAAGAACGATCATCATAAAAGAGATATACGAATAAGTGAGTGAGCGGAACTCCCGCTTGGGAAAGCGCTTCAAGCAAAGATAGCTGAGGTTTGCGGATCAAACATACCTATGGGTACATGGGAAAAAGGTTTGGGAGCCGAACAAAGACTGAGAAGTCTCCGATCGCCGGGTTGCGTTCGCAGAGACGGGACTTTCCACGGCCCGCTCGGTAATATTGTTAGGGTAATAAGATTAAGCGACGTAAAGGCTGCCGTCAGTTGGTCGCGGATGCGGTAGCCATCCTCCGCGAGGGCTTTCGAGAAGCGTCGAATACGGCTCTTTCCGGAGAAACTGCTTCGGTCCTTCTACCGAATTTTCTGCTCCAGTGTCGGGTGGTGGATACCGACGCAGCGGCGGAGAATCCGTGTTTGTCCCGCGGATACAAGACCTTAG